CAATGTTTCCTTAAGGAATTTAATCCCCTCCTAGTACCCAAGGTTATGGATTATTTCCTTCCACACACTGGTGTAGCGGTACTTCAAACCCCAGTATTTCAGCGAACATAAAGTTCGGCAGCAAATCACACTTACAGTTGCTTTGTTTGTAGTTTTAAAACAATGCAGAACAAGGGAGGAGAACTCAGAAGTCGAATGGAAATTTTGAGAGAAAGGAATGCAATGTATAGCCGATGTTGAATTCTTACTGAAGAGGATATCAGATTGCAATTCGTTTTTCCAGTGTATACACAATGTATACAGAGCGTAGTTTGAGTGTATACAGAGTGTATATCAATTATATATATCAATTGTATACTGAGTGTTTCGAGTGTTTTTTTCCGGTGTGTTCTTCTTTCTCTACAACTTCTGCTCTATTTATAGCAGTCATATGAGAGAAATCTGCCCCCTCCATGGTGGAACAAGCATTAGGATATCATGGAGGAAGCACTTACATGGTGGAATGAACACTTGCTTGGTGGGAGAAGCACTTACATGGCGGAATGAACACTTGCTTGGTGGGAGGAGCACTTGGCCATGGTGGGAGGTGCACTAGGCATCTTGTTGCTTTCTTGGTGCAACACAATACACGGATTGGAAAACATCCGTTACAAACACGGATTATATCACCTTAATATTCACTATTAACAAATAAATTTGGTCCAAATAATTAATCAATCGATCGATCATTTGATCAAATCCGAATCCAAATCCAAATCCAAATCTCATTTCTCATTCACTCTCATTTTAAGACCATTTCATCTTAAACAAAAACTCAACAATCCAAAACTCAACATACAGTACTAATACCTGAAGTACTCAATCATGTTCAATAACACAAAATTTTTCCAGAAGAAAACCAGTCCTCTATGTTAACTATTCAAAAAGCACTAGCAGACATAACCTATGCTACTTCAGGTACATAATCTAAGTTAGAGATTAGCACGGGCTGTCTTTCCTCATAACACTTTCAGCCTATTAATGTTAGAGAGCTCGAAACAGTTTGTGACAAAAATTTCCAATGACATAATCTAAAACAAGCATATAGCAGCACGGCACACATGAGAATTCTAATCAACACGCTGACATCCTCTCAATGAGGTGATGACACCAAATCAAGCTAAACAAGCAATTGTTATCACAAAATCCACAGAGTTGCTCAAAATTCAAGCAGAATAATTCCAAAAAGACTCAGCAAGAGTTGATTTTTCCCACAAACATATAAGAAAGTATCTATACGCAAGTACTTCTAATAATCTTCTATCTATAGTTAACTATCCACCTAATGAGACCAATGACATGATATTCCTAAGAAGACTTACTTAACTTTTATCTCATAAGAGCCAGTCACCTCCTGAGAAGTCTTGGACTTGGGTATTACCATCCTAAGAACACCATTCTTCATCTCTGCTTCCATATACTGAGGCTGAAAGGAATTCGAACAGATCTCAATGTTGGCACTGTAGGTTCTTCCACTGTCCTCATGCTCAGACTCCTTTTTTCCATCACCCTTTATGCAGACATTCCCATATTCAACCCACACCTTCACATCTTCTTTATCAATACCTGGCATTTCCATCCTCAGGAACATTCCTGCGTCCACATTCTTCGCCTCGTATGACCCTCGAGGTCCAGAAATTTGGAACGGGTTTTCCATGTACTGATCAGATGCACCTTCACAGAATTTATGAAAATTTACCAAAATCATCACACCAATTCTAAAGATAAAATCAACTCTCTGAGACATTGTAAAGAATGGTGATACAAATATAAAATAAATAATTAAATAAATCGTTCTCGTCATTTAAGCTTTTAGCTAAACAAAAACAACTTTTATGCCTCAATCTCAAACAACTTTGGATCGACTATATCAATCCTCATTGACACGTTTCTTCATTTAAACTCATCTCATGCCAATATTATGCTAATACAAATATAAATAATTTAAAATTGTCCGCTCTCTAATAATTAACCTTTTATCAAAATACTGACACAATTTAACATGAATCAGTCATTCAGTAGAGATTTGCATCACAATCACACCGGTACTCGTTAATTAAGAAAACTCACGTGGTAAAACATATTACAGATTTACAGACATAAAATAATTAAATAAAAAGTACTATCAGAGGATAATAAAATAAAACAAAAAGGAACAAAATTCTGCAAAATGAAATTGGATTAAACTAGAGAATTAAAGAAAAACGATGATATATACCGCGTTGAATAGGGAATTGATCGGAGCGGGGAAAGGAACCTCCAAGTGCATTGATAGTAAAGCTTTCTTCGTTAGAGTCCACAACGGAAACATGACTACTCTTATAGCTCAGAAAAAGAGATGTTAACGGCGCAACAGAACCAGTAGGGCGGCGTGTATTGAGGAAGTTGGAGAGAAGGGTTGATGAGGAGTTCAATCTCCGTAAAGCAGTGCGAAACGCCATTTTTGCAGCAAATCAAAGCTTTCGCAGTTTTCTTCTCGCCCAAGCTGGGAAAAAACAGGGGACTTTTTAGAGGGTTAATTGTGCAAATAGATTTTCTTGACGTTCAAGCCACATGTGACTTGAAAAATTCCGATTTTATACTCTTGATTTATAATTGGGATAATTACTTGGAACTTCATCAAATGTAAATAAAACAAGACCAACAACTGAAATAAATTGTAAAATAAATTACTTTGTCGAAACTAAAATATAGAATAGACATTGAAAAGTAAAGAGTATACCACTGAAACTTATACAGTCTAAAGGTATGGTAAATACTCACCCACATAATGGGTGTTCATATAAAAGCAATTCTAACTTATTATGATCAAATTATTTTACCGAGTAAAAATTAACTATCGTTAAGTAATAGAAGTGAATTTGCAATTGCATGTCATGCACTTTCAATGAATATCTCTTACACAATATTGTATGGATTCTATTCTCATTATTTCCTTCCCTTAATCCTCTTAACTTTTTCTTTTTTCTCTATTCCTTTTTATGTACCATTTTTTTAATTTGTTTCCAAAAGATATATTTTTATTTTTAAAATAATTTAACTTTTAATGAGATAAATTTATAGTCATAAAATTGTCGCGACTTATTTAAGATCACTAATTCCAAAATAGTTCAATTCCTTCTTAAACATAGTACATAATTAAACACCAACTTGGAATATGGAATTCTTCTATCAAGGTTTCCTCCTCAAAGTAGTCCCTCCTTATCCACCAGAATGCATAGTGAGCGTAGCTAATTGTTAATTAGGACTAAATTTCAGAAATGTCATGGTTTTAGAATGTTTTGTTTAATTTCTCTACAAAAGTAAACAATTGGTACTGCTATCTTGGATTATGTTAAGCGACTTGAAGCAAACCAATTGAAATTCCAATGATATCCTCCCAGTGACGAGCCAAGAGAAATAAGTCAATAGTGCATCTCCACGAATACATTCTTACGCTTTGTGCAATCTCTACACACTTCCATTTACTTCAATTTGGTTTCTTTGTCAAGAAATTACTAGTGTACCACTTGAACGTAACACTTAAATTTCATTCTCGAACTTCTGTTTTTTCCATCTCTTTCTATTTCCACACATCATTAGGATTTCAAATTCAGATCTACAGTGGCCTAAAGCTCATAGACCTCAACCAAGAACGGGTTAAAGAAGCAATGACTCGTTAGCTTTAGCTAGAAAAGCAGAGAGACTAATCCTAATCTTCAATACAACAGAAGTATTTTAAGAAGGTGACTTCAGAATTAGAGATAAAACTGAATTTGTATATCCATTAAGATAAACTGATTTTCTGCAAACTTCCTTAACTTTGTTCGTCAATCTTCATTCAGAAGTTTTTTCTTGACCCTCGCTTCAAATAATGATAGTTTTCTTGCAATGCAGATAGTGGTCACAAGGGTGGTTCGAAAAATTATACCACGCATATATGAGCACCCTTTATCAGGAATTTTTTTTTCAGTTCTTTCACATTTAAATACCGTTGAAAAAATTAGTAACTTCCCCACTGGCAGTTAGCATAGCAAAATAAAACTCATACGCCCCAAACACTTTATGCAGCTGAAAGGAGAAGCAGATTATTATACTCAACTTCCAATTAATCTAAAGCGGCACTTACAACCATAACTTTTTTAGCAGGTCGTCTTTTACTTTTCCACAGAAACCTACTACATCCAAAATAGCTAGGGGAAAAAGAAGGAAAATGTTTATAACATCAGACTCAAACACAAACTAAGCATTAAAAAACTTAATCAACTTGAACATGGAAAACATCCTTCCTCTCATCTTCCTTCACCTTAGGAACCGCCACCTTTAGAACACCATTCTTCATCTCCGCCTTAATCTCATCCAATTTGTAGAGATTTTGAGGAATTTCAAGTCTGGTAGAGTACCTTCTCCTATACTCTTCATCCTCTGATTCTTTCTCCCCTTCTCCTTTGATAATCAACGTGTTCTGCTCCACTGATACCTTCACGTTTTCCTTGTCAAGCCCAGGCATGTCCATTTTAATATGCAAGGCATCATCATCTTCTCTCACGTCCCATCCTCTCCTTGATCCGACTCCGGTGCCCATGCCACGCGGTGCCGTGAATGGAGTATCCATCATTTGGTCCATCATGTTTAGTAGTTGGCTCACGCTCCTTGGTGGTGAAAATGGATCAAACACATCTGTTTTTAATCAGAAACAAAAGGTTCATACCAGTCAAAATCATTTAATCACACTATTCAGCACACTCGGTGGAGTTAAAGGTCCTAACAAACTTAGGAACAAATGGTACCACATCTCAGCTCTCTTAAAGCAGTAAGGTCGATTATCTTAATATATTATCAATTTTAACAGGTTTTCACACAACAGAAAAAACATATTAAGTACGAGATGTATATATTTACCAAATCAGGAAAATAGGATGACGAATAAACACACAACGATTAGTGCCAAATATAGGGAGATTCTCTCAAAAGTCAAAAGTATATTTACTCACTTTTAGACAGAAAATAGAGGTTAATTTATGGTATATTATATATATATACTAAAAGAGCAAAATTGGATGGTGAATAAACACGTGCCAAAAATAGGGACTTCCAATTCTCTCAAGAATGTATTAACTCTGATAAACTTTAGACACAAAACAGAGGTTAATTGAACCTAAACCAGTGGTTTTATACAGAAGGTCTGCCTCTGTTTCATGGTCAAATTTGAGCAAAAACGGAGAACAAACCTGGGAAGAAGCTAGGAAAAGAGTCGCGGCGGCGAGAGACGGAGGGATCGGAGCGGCGGTCAACATCAACGCTGCGATCATCGTCATCGTCAAAAGTTGTCATCTGAGCGTTGGTGTTGAAGGATCGGAAAACAGAGGGAGCAACAGAGGCAGAGCGAACAGGGGTGACGAGCCTGTTGAAGAGTGCTGAGGCGGTGGTCGCCCTTCTGAGAACAAGTGAAGTTGCCATCTCTACTGTCAAATGATTGCTTACTACTAGCTTTCTGAAGAGAGAGAGGTAACTGCTCTAATGGAGTGAATTTGCTTCACACTGTATTGCTGGATAAGTATGACAAATGCGTGTATAGTGTCTCCTTTTATATTCGCTCAGTGACTTGGAGAAAGGGAAATGGGGTTCGAGAAAATCATGGAAGCATCTTGTAGAAAGTTCCAGACCTGTAGGGTGCCAATTTTATGAGAAGTTTCTAGAGGCTAGTAGACAATATCCGTGATCCGGAATTTTTTGCAAATTACTATTATGTCCTTTTTTTCTTTTATAACTATTCTGTCCTCAGTTGCTCTTTGGCGCCTTACCTAGTGTCTAACGAGCTCTAGGGTGGGAGTTTTCTCTAGCTTAGTTTTTTTATTTGTCCTAAAATAATCCATCGGTAATCCGTGTTAAAGATAAATGTGTATTATTAATTCATACTAATTCAATAAAAAAATATTAAAATGATTTTATAGTTTTAAAATTGCTCGAAAGGATATTGATAGAATTATACAATTAAATAAAGTAATTGCACGTATCTATGTAAGCATTAATGGGTAAACTAACAAAAATGATAATTTGTATAATCAACTAAAATTACATCTTATAAACAATTCTTTACACATATCAATGTGTATAACTTAAATATATTAAAATTAGCGAAAATTGTACTTTATATTTACATATACTTTGCGATTTCATCCTTCCTTTCCATTCTCTTTCCATTCTCCGGCGGTGAAAATTTATTTAGAAGATTTTGTTCTAACTAAAGGGTAAATAGCAACTAGCAAGTAATATTTACCCCTGAATATTTAGTTCAATTACATTAGTTTATCATAGTTAAATGATTTGATGGCACAATGATGAGAATCATCCATTAATTTCACCTTCTTATGCTCAGTGAAGATGCCAAGTAACGAAAAAAATGTTATTTTTACCTTTACTATTTTCCCCTCTTTTTTACTCCGATTTGTTACTTTGCGAAAATAGGTAATCATAAGCCAAATTCCTTCACATCAAACATTAGTACTATGTAAGAAATTCGGATCAATTTATCTCAAATATATTCCCTAGAGAAACTAAAAAAGAGGAGCATATGTTACACATTTTGCTAAGACGATTGATAGACGAGCCAGGAACCAATCATTTATTTTCAACTATGCTTCATAATTACAATTACTCTATTAGTACAAAGTACTTTGCATCCTCTAATTGAAAGAATTCTCTTGTTAAGCAACTCCATTTATCGATACTTGCATCTTCCATAAGCTGCAAAATTATCAAATAGACAAAAAAAATACAAAATCATAAAAACATTAAATTTAAATTCTGAATCTGTCGCTGACGCAACACACATATATGAAGTTAAGAGAGAAAACTTACAGGGATCGTTTTGTACACGAATGCCCAAATGAGGAGGACATTTAGAAGTTCTGGTATACATAAGGTTTAGAACATATGAAGCATGGCTACGAATTGTAGGAGGCAAGAAACATGGTTTTTCAGATTTTATGTCATTACAGTAGCCTCTATTACATGCTCTGTCCAAAAAGGCTGATAATGTTACATCAGTAGCCCATTCATCTGCCACACACCACCACTTAGCTCCCTGCATTACAAACATTAATTTTACATCACCACTAAAAATACGCATATTTTCGACGAATTTCATCACAAATGTGCTCTTAAAAAATTGTTTCTAATTGCTCTTGGTCGGAAATCTAGACGTCCATTAAAAAAACTGCACTTTTCTAGTAATGAGGTTCAGGGTTTATGTGTAACACAACTAGCTAATTAATGATACTTTACCTGACAAAAACTTGTGAAAGATAAGAACACTAGGAAGCACAAGAATACATTTAGCTTTGCCATTGATTTCCAGTACATACATGGGCGAAGCTACATGTTATAAAGGGTGGTCAACCCCCTTCGTCGGAAAATTACATTATATATATATATATATATATATATATATATATATATAT